GGAGCTTGAGCGTGATGGTCGAGGAAGGGCGATGGAGAGGAGGAAAGGTGGTCGCAGCGAACGTGACGAGGGTGGTAGTGCCAGCGAGCCATGGTGTAGGCCAGGAGTTGAGCGGCACGAAGCATTCCGGGAGAGGAAGGCGGGAGGGGCGCAGCGGTAGAGCAGGACAAGCGCAGTCGGGTGTTCCAACCGGCCAACGGGGGGTCATTCCGTCGCGAGGGGGAGACGAAAGGTAGCGATGATCGCGCGTTCCGGATCGAGCGTTTTAGTCCAGGTTCATAGAGCGTTAGTTGGACCAACAAGGCGGCATTCATGGCAGACGTTGCGTTGGCAGTAGTAGTTGTGACAGGGCGTTCGTTGGTCGAGAGCGAGGGGGGACAAAGTGATGGCGTAGCATAAGAAGACACAGCGTCAGTGACTGCTCCCTCTTCGTGGACGATGCAAGGTGATACTCACTCGTTGTAGACTACGAATGAGGGTGGGGGTGTGTTACTGCTGGTGAAAGATGATGGATAGGACTACGAGGAGAAAGCAAACAGTGAACGAGAGCACCGTTTTTGTTGCGCTACAGCGACGCTGGCCGCAGGACGTGGCCTCAGACCCAGCGTACAGCTGCGTGGATGAAAGCTTGAGCCGCCGCAGGGTGAGGGAGGGAGGGCCTGAGCGCGATCCAAACGCGCGACCCTTTGCCCTCGCGTCCTGTCTTTACCCTTCAGCGGGACCAAATAGTGATTGTTTTGATCACAACACACGCGCACCCCCTCTGGCCCCCTCTGGCCTCTCTCCCGATCCACCCGCGCGACACCCGTGTGAAAGGTCTCGCGGTCCGCGCTCGAATCCGTTCCTGAAACGCGCACCCTTAGGTCTCCCACGCCTTCTTCTCAACGTCTGTCAATCTGTCAACACGCTGTCAACAAGCTAGCTCACTGCAGACAGGCACAACGTAAACAACAGCCAGCCAGCCAGCTCCACATTCACAACCAAGCATACTCCCACTCCAAGCCTGTCCTCGACGCTGTCTGTGGCAATGCGTGCTCACTCGTCAGATGTCATGTTCTGGCTTGCTGCCAGAGTGCGCTCGAGCTGAGCCCATGACCCATGTGCTCAATGTACGCCTTGGCCCGTCCCAACGTCGAATACCTGTCCAAGCTCGTAGTCCACGATCGAGTCGCTCCCCACTCTCCAGCCCAACAACGGTCTGTGTCAAAACTAACGATACATTGGATCTACAGTATGAAAACTAAGGTACGGAGCAGGTATAGAGAGTCAAGTGATTATAACAACAGATGCTTGGTGATACGTTCGCGAGATTATATCTATCATCAAACGTCCCGATCAGTGGTGGGAGAGAGACCCATTCATTGCCCAGTCTCACTCCTTCTCCTTGTCCTCCGCCTTCTCCGCCTTCTCCGCCGTCTTGCCACTCTTGCCCTTGCCCTTGCGCTCAGCCACAGCCCCGCGCATCTTCTCAATAAGCCGATCGAGCTTGTACGGCTTGATGATGACGTGGTCCATGCCCGCCTTGAGCGCTTCGACGATCTGGCCCTCGCGCGCATTCCCCGTGAGGGCGATCACGAGCTGGCTCTGGAGGGCGGGATTCTCGCTCGCGCGCAGAATCTTGATCGCAGTCCAGCCGTCCATGATGGGCATCTCGAGATCCATGAGCACCACGTCGTACGCCCCCTCGCTTGACTTGGGGGCGGAGGAGGGCGAGACAGGCCGCAGGCGCTTGCGCAGGAGCTTGAGCGCCTCCTCGCCGTTTCCGGCCACGTCGCAGGTCATGCCTGCCTTGGTGAGCTGGCGCTTGAGCACGGTCTGGTTGATGAGGTTGTCCTCGACGATGAGGACGCGGAGTGGGGGCCCAGAGGGCGCAACGGGGGTTGGGGGCTTGAGCTCTCCATTCATGGATGAAGGGACGAGTTCCATGGCCGGCGTGAGGGGACTAATCGTCGACAAAGACGGCGACATGGGCAGCGGTGTCGGCGGGCTCTTGCCCTGGTTACTGCCGTGCAGCCTGAACCCGGGGCTGACGGTGCGCGTCTTGATGTAGAAGTAGAACCGCGTCCCTTCCCCGAGTTTACTCTCGACACTGATGCCGCCACCAAGCATCTCGGTGATCTTCTTGCAGATGAACAAGCCCAGGCCCGAGCCGCCGTACCGCGTGTGAATCATCTTGTTGCCCTGCTGGAAACGCTGGAAGAGGAGTTCCTGCTCCGAAGCGCTCATGCCGGGGCCCGTGTCCGTCACCGTGACGTAGAGGTAGATCGGCGTGTCCTCGGGCGGCGGGACGGGATACTGCTTGTCCAATCCGGCAGAGGGCGGGGGCTTGGTCGATCCTTCGAGGGGAGGTTCATAGGCTACTTGCTGGAGGACGGAGATCTTGCGCGTGTGCGAGTTGGCAGTGAAGCGGATCGCGTTGCTGATCAGATTCGTGACCACTTGGCCCAGACGTACGGGGTCCGTCTTGATGCCATACACTCCCAGGCGGTCGAGAGACTCATCAAATTGCAGGTCGATGTCGATGTTCTTCATCCGCGCCTCGGACGCGAACACGGACAGCTTCTTGCGCGCCTCGTGCTGCATGTCCATCTCCACGTCGTGCAGGCTCAGCATGTCGAGCTGGATGCGCGCCAGGGACAGGATGTCGTTCGCGATGCGCTCCTGCACCGCGCCGCAGGTGAAGATGGACTCGAGTGCGTCCACGTCTTCCTCGAGATCCAACAGGGTTTGGGGCGTGGGCACGAACCCGACATCGTTGGCCAGCGCCCACTTCATCTGGTCCATGAGCGAGCAGAGGTTCTCCTTCACGAGCGAGGAGCACTGCAGAATGGCAGACACGGGGGTGCGGATCTCGTGCGAGGTCAGGTCGACGAGGAGCTCCTGGTGCCGCTTACTCTCTTCTGCCTGGATGCGACGGTTCTCGGCCTCGACAAGCATCTCCTCCTTGTACGAGATATCCGTGACGCAGGCGAGGATGCCGCTCAAGTTCTGATTAAGCTTGCGCAGGTTGATGAACGTGCCGCTCATCGTCTTGCCCGTCTTCCACCTCCATTCCAGTTTCGTCGTCATCTCCGCGCCCGTGTCGTCGAGCAGGGCGCGCCAACTGCGCTCAAAGCTCCGCGCCTGGTCCGGGCACACGTACGAGATCCAGTCGTTCGCGTTCGTCTCGAGCGACATGCCCGCCGGCTCGCGGAACGCCTCGTTCGCATAGATGATGTTCCCGTACCCGTCGCTCCGCAGGATGCCCGACGGACAGTAGTCGGACAGCACGGCCATCTCCTGCGTGCGCTGCGCGAAGAGACTCTCGAGGTTCTCGCGCTTCTTCCCAATCTGCGTGTGCAGGTGCACGCGGAGCAGGAGCTCTTTCGGCTTGAACGGCTTGATGATAAAGTCCTCTGCGCCGGCCATGAACGCCGAGACTCTCAGGTCGTCGTCGTTGACCGGGCTCAGGAAGACGACGGGGACAAACTGCGTCGCGGCCGTAGCCCTCAGCTCGGACAGCAGCTCGAGTCCCGTCAATTTGCGCATGAGCAAGTCACAAATAACAATGCTCGGCTTCTGCCCCGCCTGGATCAGCTCCAGGGCTTCGTACCCGTTACTCGCCTCGAGGACGGTGCAGTACGGCTCGAACAGGTCCTTGATGTAGTCGCGTATGTCCTTCATCTCGTCGACGACGAGGACCACGTCGTCCTTCTCAAACATGAGGCCCTCGGGCACCGCGCCCTCCGCCTCGGGCGCGGCGCCGAGATCCTCGTTCCAGTCCGAGAGCTCCTTGGCCACCTGTTTCCCATACACGCCAAAGGAGGCCGCTTGCGGCGCGTCGTGGTCGAAGCTGTCCTCGCCATCCTCGACGACGGGCGATTCGGCCGGCGACCCCAGTTCGTCCTCGGCCAGGTGGTACTTGAGCGGTATCCGGGCCGTGATCGTGTTCCCGTGCTGTGGGTCGCTCGCACCGCGACTCTCGATCCGTAGCTGGCCCTGGTGCAGGCGCACAATCTCCTTGACGAGCGCGAGCGAGATGCCGCTGCTGCTGCTGCTGCTGAGATTCTTCTCGTCGTCGTCGTCGTCCGCGGGCTGGAACCAGTCCGTCGGGCTCTCGACGTCGTTGATGTTGGACACACCGTCGCCCGTGTCGATCACCGAGATGTTGGCAAACTGCTCGTCAAACTGGAGCTTGAGCGTGATGGTCGTCTGCCGGTCCTTCTGGCCGCAGTTCTTGATCGAATGGCTGAGCAGATTCGACACGACCATCTCGAGCAGAATCGGGTCAAAGTAGATCAGCTCCTTCTCGCGCCGGTCGATCTGATCCATGTCCAGCTCAAAGGTGAGCTTGCCGATCTTGCTGATCGTGGGCTTGAAGAGGTCGAACAGCTCGCGCAGCCAGAATTTCAGGTTGTTCACGAAATAGTGGATCTTGAACTTGCCCAGCTCAATCTTGCTAAAGTCGAGCAAGGACGTGACGAGCTGCTCGAGCTTGAACACATTCTTCTTCGCCATGATCAGCTTCCGGCGCTGCTTCACGTCCATGTCCTTGGCAGCTTCATGGCTGAGGTCCTCGAGTGGGCCCGAGATGAGCGTGAGCGGGGAGCGGAACTCTTGCGCGACGCCGCGGAACCACGCCGTCTTGGCCCGGTCGAGCTTCTCCTGGTCGATCCTCCGCTTGAGCTCCTTCTCGTTCGCGATGGCCGAGTTGAGGGCGGCAGACAGGTGGCCCCGGATCTGCTGTACCCAGTCCTCGTACTCCCCATCGAGGGGGCGGTACAGGTTCAGGCCGAGGATCATGACGCCGGGCGGGATGTGGTCGCTCGACTCGCTCGACATCGGCACGATGATTGCAGTGTCCGGCAAATCGTTCCATTGCCGCACTGGCAGGCCCTCAATCAGGCTCCCAATGTTGTGCACCACGACGCACTGCCGGCTCGCGAGCGCGCGCGCGATCGGCCACTCCAGCCCGTCGCTGTATGCCTGCTCGTTGCGCCGCGTTCCGATCGTGGACCAGTGCAGTGAACTTCGCACGGGCACAGGCGAGTTGCGCCTGTGTGTGCCCGGGTGGAAGTGCTCGAGTGCCGCACGGCCCGGGCCACCCTTCGAGATCGTGATGGACTTGTGCGCCGGCGCGCACTTGTGGCCCTTTGGCACACCGACGCTGCTCTCAAGCACGAGCGTGACCTGCTTGCTCTCGAAGGGCGGGATCGTGCCGCTCATCGTGCTGGCCGGCGAGTCGGTCGAACTGGGCCCAGAGCCATGGTGCGAGCTGAGCCTCTTCCGGCCCAGAAGATCATGCACGGCCTTGTCGCCCGCGTCGCCCGCCTCCTTCTCCTTGACGCTGTAGCAGATGGCGAAAGGCGCGTCGGCGGGATTATGCTCCAGCACCTCGGCGACGGACTCGAAGAACTGCTTGGTCGTCTTGGCCATGGCGATGTGCTCGACGAGCTCGCGCGTCGTGTCCAGCCGCCGCTCGGCGAGAATGCGCTCGCTGTTGTCGGCCGTTGGGTTGTAGATCGCAATCACGTTCTCGTTCGAATCCATGATCGGCAGGAAGGAGAAGGAGTGGTACTTCTCAAGATACCGCGAGGGGCCGCCCAGCTCGTCCTTCAGCTCGAAGAGGATGCGGTCGTTCTCGTGCACGATCGGCTCGCCAGCCCACGCCCGGTCGACGAGCGGCTTCAGTTCCGGCCAGAAGAGGCGCCACACATCCTCCATCCGCGACCCGAACGCGCGAGGGTGGTCCACCATCGAAGTGCACTTGTCGTTACTGCTGTTAGATTAGGCTGGACTGTGGACTCACTAGACCAAGCGCATGTCGCTTCCGACCCAGATTGAGTCCTGGTCCGACGACGTGAAGATCAACCGGATCATGGAGTGTACCTCTGGCGGCCAGTCCTTCATTGGTCCAGCCGGGGTATCCTCCCACTTCGTATCCAGCAGCAGCTGGGCGCAGGACAAGCGCTCCTCGGCATCGTTCCTTGGCGGGGGCGGCAGGCCGTTTTCCCTCGGGATCGACACTGGAGGTGTTCGTCGCCCGCCTCGTCGGCGTCCAGACCGTGTGATAAGCGGCCGGAGCTCCTCGGTCGGGTCTAGCGATCGCGGCTTCAGCCGCGGCGAGCCCGCCGGTGACGAAAGTGCTGCTGGTGGGTCTCGCGCCGCTTGCCTCGCCTCATTCACGCGGACGGATGTCACGACGGCGTACGTGTTCTGGATTCCTGTCTGGATTGTCTTGATCAGATCCAACGAGATGCCCGTCCCCAAGTTGAGTTTGAACTCGGGCGAAGGCACGCCACTGCCGAGCAACCAGGCGCGGAATGATGACAAAGCCGACGGGTCGACGAGCTCATTCAGCGGCGTCCGCGCCGTTTGGTTGTCATACTGCTTGTTCGTCCACAGTATCCGCGGAGGTGTCAAGGACGGCTCAGCAAGCAACGGCGACAACGGCGAAAGCTGTGCCGGATGTGAGAGGGGTGAGACCGCCTCGTGGTCGAAGTACTCGTTCTGCTGATGTGGGCGGGGATATGGTCGTTGGGCTGGCTTCTTTTCTGACTGGGTTTGGGACTTCTCGGAATCGCGCCGCGCACTCGTGTTCGTACTCGTAGACACTCGCTGCGACTGCACTGACGCCTGGGACGGTGCTGGGATCCCTTTCCCGTCAACAAACTGCACTGAACGATTGAAGCTGCTCCACCTCCGTCCACGCTCGCGCGAGTTCTCCCGCGCGAGGTCCGGGACTGCCAAGTCAATCGGGCAGATCGTGCTGAGATACGACCCGCCCGACCAGCGCGACAGCAGCGAGTCCAGCTGCGGCTTGCCCGCGCCGGCGCCTGGCGCTTCCTCCCCGTCTTCCTCTTCCATGATGACAGCTTCCTCTTCCGTGTTGATGGTGTCCAGGGGCAGCGTCGGGTGCGACGGGGACGGCGTGAACGGGTTGCCCACGCTCACAGAGCCACACGTACCAGATGAGGGTGAGCTGTGCGGCACGCTGGGCGCTATGGGGACGGCCTGCTCGTGCTGCAGCTCCTGTGACCGGTCCGGGATCTCGACGACGAACGCCGGAAACGGGTACGCCTGCTCGTTAGCGCTGTTGAATGACCGAGAGGGGGGCAGAATGCTCCAGGTACGAACGACGCCTGCAAGCGCCTATGGCGCACCACTGGCGCGACTGATACGCGACGATAACAACTCACTTTCAGGAACCCCAGCGGGAGGCCATCCGCGAGCAGGCCCGCCTCCATGGCGGCTTTCGATTGCTTGATTGTTGCTGACGGCTGGTTCTAGTGTCCGAGACGCAGCATGGGGGCCTCTACGCGTTCGGCGACGGGCGTGCAGGTAGGTGCCGTGGCGTCGTAATGTGGACGTGGGCGGCGGCGTCGGAGCGGTGGAATCAACAACAGCGGCGGCGACCGAGCTAGGGGCGATAAATTATAGTGTGCGCAGGTGCTCAAATCAGTTGAATGGATGATGAAATAGGGTTTGCCGAGTTGGTCGGTGCGGTCGGTTCGCGATGTATCGTGAGCGATCTGCTGAAGAGATGTGATGACAAAGGACAAGGACGATGAGATGAGCGACGATCAGTTTGCAGTCTCAGCGGGGCTGTCGCGGGGTCGGAAGCAGCGTGTCGGGTCTTGTGGTCAGAGTTCGGGGCTGTCATGTCTTGTGTGTCCTTTTGGCGGTGGGTTTGCCGCTGACGAGGGACAAGGGTGCTGCTGCGGTATGCGGGTGTCGTCCTGGAGTCGCTTGGTCATGATCGGACACTGACTCTATGCAGAGCGCTTTGGCTCGAGTGCCTGCGTTCCGCACGACAGGTACAGGTGCTCCAGGTTAAAGCAATGCAGCTCACTCCTGCATGCACTCCTGCAAAACCTGTATTGAGCGGCGTCTGTCTTTGCAAGCAGGTCGTCGGCTCCTGGCCTTGGATCAAGTGCCCAGAAGCATTTGGGTGCAGGTTTGTGGCCATCACATCAGCATTCCTGTGACGTAATGCCTGGCCCCGGCTACCCTGCGGCAGCCCATAAGCCCCAGCATCCGTCACTCAATTCCTCAACGCGCCCGTACAAACTTTCGCCTCCGGAAAGGAAGTTCTACCTTGTCAGCCCTACTCCTCCAGACGCGAAGCTCTTAGGAGGCTGAAACGGCAGATCTGCATGCTCTTCGGATCCCCAGTTTCGCCGTTCGCTGTACCTTTCGAGTAAATCGTTATGTGACTTTGTTGAGCCTGCTTCCCAACCTCTGCGAAGAGGCTCGGAAAACTCTCCGCCCTCCCTCCGCATTGCGTAACACGACCGTGCGCCAGTGCTGCCGTCCTCACGGAATGTACAGCCATGTGACAGCCCTGATCCCTCCCATTTCCCTGCAGCTTCCCTCGTCCACCCAGTCCGGTTGACGCTCCCCAGCCTCCTTTCGGGCCAACGTTCGGCTACACCTCCTCGCCTTCACCGTCAGCGGCGGTCGCGAATTCGGGAGGGCTGTGGCTTTCCCAGCTCCCAGGCGTCAATCTTCCCTAAGTGGTGAATAGCGCGGAGGCTCGATTCGGCACTCTAGGTGGTGAGCAAGCTGGGCAAGCATTCCACACGCCGCCGGGTCTGCCGTGCATTCTTCCACCTGCTGCCCGCCGTGTTGACCGTTCCCGATGTCAGGTTTCTCGGTCATATTCGTGGTAAGCGACAGTCGAGGCGGGTCCTGCCGCTCCGTGCGAAGCTTACGTGCTTGCTTTCGCAGATCGTTCCTTTCATCCGTTTCGGAGCAGCGTCTACAGCGCCCTGATCGTAAGAACGAACTCACTGCAGCTCTATACGCTGCGCAAGGACATCCTAACAAGCCTAACACTCAGAATGTCGGGTTTGACGGACCTTTCGGCCCGGTGAGTGTGGAGCGGATGCGACGACATGCTCGGTTGAATTTGGGAGCGCCCTGTTCCCCCTCTGGCCCGATGGGTTTAGCCTACGGCGTCGTTACGACGCGTTGACACATGAGGACACCGAGCTCACGAAACTGGTCTCCACACAGAGCGGGGCAGAACCAGGAAGGAGGCGAGCACGTCCACGACGTTCACAGCAAATGACGGTGGGCATGTTGTCGTATCCTCGCACTCCTCACAAAGCTCTCTCGCACCGGCATCTGCCACATTGTTCAGCCTGACACTCAACTCCAGAGGCGCGAAAAACTCAACGAGAAACCGCACAGCTAGACATAGAGACAGGAGATGCCCACAAGAATAAGATTGAGGACGCTGGCTCAAGCACGAGCTCATGCGGCGTTCAGCCACCGAGCCCAGGCACTCCTGCGACGCCGAGGCAAACGCCTCTCCGCCAACCGCGGCGCGGACAAGTGGGAGAGCCTGAAACTCTCATGTCGTCCTCACTCCGCCGCCACCAAAGTGACCGCGGGCGCGTGCTAGCTCACATGTCCAGCTGGTGACTCTACCACCCGGCAGCTGCTTCAGTTCTGTCGGTCGGAAGGCTCGGCGCCCCGAGACCACCGAAACAGAGGAGTAGATTAGAAGTAGTGGGCCATTGCAACGCTAAGCAATCCCTCGCCTCCTTGTGCAGAGGTTAGCTATGGCTGGCCGAGGGGCGAGGAATGCGAAGCCACGCTGCAGATAGACTGCGGACTTCAACCGGCCAACAGGAAGCTGCTCTGTTCGAAAGTCGGAACTGTCTCCGCTCGAAACAAGTGTCGAAACGGAATGCGCATATCTGTACATGCGGCAGCCGCCGCTGCGACGCACCAAGTGCGTCATAGCGTCTCTAGCTTGTGCACGGGCAGACTGCTATCAGCCTGGGCCGGGCTCGCTCCGATCGCTGTGTCTATTCTAGCACAAGCGCTCCGCTATTCGCGGTCATCACTGGGAATACGAAGTGGCAGCTGAGCCGCATGATGCTCGTGGCGGCGATCATGAGCCGCGGTGTCCCAGTCGTGGAGATCAGGTGGCGGCCGTCACAACATTCGATGCTGTGGCATCAGGAAGCGGAGAGTGCAACGCATGCTACAGCCGGGCGGCATCCCAGTGCATTGCCTTAGGTGCGGCCAAGCGAGACCACCGCCCCGGTCCCAGGAGGCAGCCCGGAACTGAACCCCCTCGCTCCCAGCGGCGCTTCGCCAGTCAGACCAGCCAGACCTGGCGACCGGACAACCATGCACCCTGCTTCGACACAAGTCTATAATTACATGCCATCACTATCGTAAGTGTGGAATGCTGGTATGCTTCAGCGCTGCGCATATTCTGGCAGAACTCGGCATCATTTAGGTGCGGATATAACCTAGTGTCACTCGAAAGAAGCCGCGGCTGATCTGGAGCTCCGCGGTATGCGGAGCTGGAGGTAGTCCAGACTCCTCATCAGTCGTCAACGATGCGAGGAGAGAGTTTCCGAAGGCTAGTCCGTTGCAGAACCGGTGACGGGATACGGCGAGGAATGGGCGCTCAGCTGCCCAGCCGGTGAATCAGCGGCTGAACAACCAGTGGTTTAGAGGATACGAGTCGAAGTAGTACATCTCCGTTTCGATGGAGAAGTCCTCTTCCCCTATCATATCGCGATACTGCTCCCGCGAAATGAAGGTGACGTTCTTCCTCATCTTCTGCCCCAGCCGGCCCTTCGGCATGCCCTCTGACGGATGAGCCTCGACGTCGGCCGCACACTTCGTAATCTCCTGCTTCAAGACCTGCACGATAGCCTTGCGAGAAATCGAGTTCTGCTCCCCCCTCGCGAATATCTTCTCTCTGCCTTTAGCCGTCTTCTCGCGCCGTTGCACAATGAGAAGTGGATCCAGCTCTTCAGCACCAACGACCGTCACCGCTATGCCATGCCCGGCTGCCCACACGGTGAACTTGACGAACAAGTCGAGGCTACTTGACTGGTCCTCCTGGGGATCTACATCCCAGTGCTTGAAGACGTAACTGATGCGCTTGAGCTGGGCAGTTGGGCGCGGCGTGGGTGGGAACATCTTCTCGCTCGCCCCATACTTGAATCCTTGCACCTGGTTGACGACCATCTTGATCGTGTTGGGGGAGCAAAGTGCGAACTTGCCGCTTTGGTCAAGGTCCAGTTCGTCCGCGACGGCGAACAGCAGAGGCCTCCACAAGAGGTTTTCGAGATTGTCACTATACAAGTGGTCAAGAAAGACAGTACGCTGCGCGCGCGGGAAAGCATAGGGATCGATGGGGAGCGGACAGCTGTTGTCAACCGGTTCGAAGCGCACTGTGTGGATGTGCGGCATGAGGCGATGTGTCAGGGAAGCTTCAAGCTGCTTGAGTGACCAGTCAACGTCGAGGACCCGAGCGCGCTGCAGAGCGTCTCTTTTCTCTTGAGGAATCCCGTCAAAAGAGTCCTCCCAACCATGCGGTGGCTGTGTGGGATAGTCCCAGTCTGAGCACCCGGACTCGTGGTCGATGGGTTCTTCGCCATCGGAGTCGTACCCCCAGTTGAATAACTCGGGTCCAAGAGTCTGGTACAACTCCAACGCTTTTACGCCCGAGTCGAAAAGCCGCACGTCCGCGCGCAACTGCACGTCCTTGCCGATCACTGCGTATCTGGTCGACTCGCCCGAGACTCGGCGAAGATCATTCGACTCATGTACCACCTCCAAGTTAAAGTGCTCCAGAGGCAACAACCTGCGACGCGCTGCAGATCGGAACGACCGGCTCACGCGCGAGAGCACCCGGAGCGCCTCGATGTCGGCATGTTTGAAGATCTCCTCGACGATGTGCGGGAAGAACGCTGCGTCAATGACTCTTAACGTCAGCGAAGACTTCAATCAGACTCACACTTTGCGCGGTTGTCTGCGCTTGCGCGAACGCTTGCGTTTGCGCGGCCGCTCAGGCAACTCCGGGCGCAGCATTTGAAACGCAGCCAGTCGGCAGCTCTAGTGTAAGGAGTAAGATGATACTCGTCCGAAATGCCGCATGTCGTTCTTATTGTTCGGACATATCACGTGTGGAGAATCGTACGAAGCCGCCTTTTCAAATAGAGGCTGTTTGTTTACCTGCATGCACAGACCTACAGAGCGAAGTGGCGTTTGTGGTAGTCGACGTCTGTTTCGATGGCGAAGTCCTCCTCTCCTATAGAGTCGCGGTACGCTTCCCTCGTGAGGAACGTCACGTTCCTCTGCGCCTTCTCCGCGTATTCCGCGCTTTTCGCGATCCTGGCGACCTTGGCGAGCTTCTGCTTGAAGTACGCCACGATGTCGTCTCCTGTCGTAATGGACTTGTAGTTCTCTGGATCGTAGTATTCGTCGGGCTTATCCTTCGTATACCCCCCTGGTGGCTCCGGCGCGATCCGGAGCCGCTCATCTCTGAAAATGGCGGGGTCGATATCCTGCACGCCGACCACGGTGACCTTCACGTTATGCTCCAGCGCCGCCCACACCATGAGGAAGAGGAAACGGTCAAGGCTCCGCGCTCCATCCTCGTTCTTGTCCAGACCCCAGGGAGTGAAGACGTATGTGAGCTCCTGCAATCGCTTGGAAGGGGGCATGGGCGATGGCGGGCACATTGCATCCTTGTCTCTTCCTTTCCGGCCGTTCATCTGATGAATGACAACCTTCGCCGTCCTATCAGAGCACAACTGGAAGTCCTTGTTGTATGGAACGGGCTTAAACCATCTGCCAGGGTTGTCGAAGAACACAACTCGCTCCACGGCTGGAGGTTCAGACAGCGATTCCTGGATCATCGGGGGTGCCACGGCGGGGAAGCGTGCGGTGTGAAGATGCGGCATAAGACAGATGTTGAGGAAGGCTTCGTCCTTGCCGAGGGGGTAGCGGATGTCGACCACTTGTGCGCGTTTCAGGGTGGTCATATCTGCAGCTGGGATCTCCTCGAGGCAGTCGATGCGCCCGTCCTCTTTTGGACACACATAGACCTCCTCCTCGGCATCGTAGTACTCGACCATTATCGGGTATCCGCGCTCGCTCTCCGGTATCGGGGTGTGAATGCCCTCGAAGTCGTGGTGGTCTGCGCTGGCGAGTCCCCAGTGGAAGTGCATAGCGTCGGCCAGAACACGCACGCCAATACCCTTGAGCTCGTAGAGGTACCACGCTGTGCGGTCTTTATGGATCGATTCCGGCACATCGGCAGTCAGTAGTTCGAAGTGCTTGTACGGGCGCAGACGGCGTGTCGCCGCCCGATGAAAGGAGCGATTGACGAGGGACAAGGTGCAGAGCGTATCGAAATCGGCATAATCGAAGACCTCCTGCACGATATGCGTAAAGAAGGCCGCATCTATCACCCTGCATC